CTGGGATCCTCCAGTACAGCAGAGAGCAGCTTCACTCCTGAGTCTCCTGGGTGATTGTAGCTAAGATCCAGCTCTTTCAGGTGTGAGGGGTTTGACCTCAGAGCTGAAGCCAGGGAAGAACAGCCTTCCTCTGTGACTCTACTGCCTGACAGCCTGCAGAGAGAGAGAAAAAAGAGGTAAGGAGCATGTCCTGATTACAGCGCATTACCCACCACAGGACAAACCACCTCAGGGATGAGAACCTGAGTACAGCCATGTGGAAGGTGATACCTCAGCACCACACTAGCCTGAATGGACCAGTGCGAGGTTTTTTTTCTGGTGGCCGGAGTGCGAATCCTGCCACTAACCCCTAAGTTATTCCCTGTAAGTGGAAGGACCTCCTCATCGGAGTGGATGTACATTAACATCATACCCAGGATGAAGCCAGGGCCTTAAGGGCCTTGCTCACAGGCACAATGAAGTAGAATCACTCTGGGTATTCACGGGATTTGAACCAGCAACCTTCCAGTTGTTGGCACAGATCTCTAGCCTCAGAGCCACGACTCCATCCTCAACAGAAAAAAGCTCTCGAATAAATAAGATGACCTCACCATTACAAGGATCCAGTTTACAATGTGGAATACCCAGTAATACTTACCTCAGTATCTCCAGTTTACACGGTAAATCTGCCAGTCCAGCAGAGAGCAGCTTCACTCCTGAATCCTGCAGGTCATTGTCACTCAGGTCCAGCTCTCTCAGGGGTGAGGAGTTTGATCTGAGAGCTGAAGCCAACGCCTCACAGCATTTCTCTGTGAGTTCACACCAGTTTAACCTAAGGAAAATTAAACACAGCCACTTTTACACTAGTGCACTGGATATTAAATGCAAATGAGAATAGGGACCATGATGGAACAGATTTTTTAAAACACTGAATTTATTAAGAAGCATTTTAGCAATCATTCTGGTTTTGATTGGTGTCCATTGTATTTATACCCATGGTATATGTTAAAATTGGCATGTCATGTTTAATCGTAATATTACCGTCAGTTTTTATTTTTTAATTCTATTAACTCTCTTAACCAATACAAATCTTTTGCATGTGTTAAGAATAAATGACTGTTTCCTGTTTCACAATTTAATAGTTTCTAAGCAAGATCAAGTGCTGATAAGTTTGGGGATATAAGACAGTAGTAAAAGAAAAAAGAAGCTGTTTGTGTTTGGTTATTATGTCACTGGTGAAATGCATTCTGGGTTTTCTTGATGCCCAGTTTCTTTTTTGTAAAATGCATATTCTGTACTCACTTCAGCTTCTCCAGTTTACAGCTGGGATCCTCCAGTACAGCAGAGAGCAGCTTCACTCCTGAGTCTCCTGGCTTATTGTTGCTCAGATCCAGCTCTCTGAGGTGTGAGGGGTTTGACCTCAGAGCTGAAGCGAGGAAAGAACAGTCTTCCTCTCTGACTTTACAGCATGACAGCCTGCAGAGAGCAAATCACAATATTTTTTTCCACTGCCCTCTATATGCTTGTAATTAGCTGTTTAAAGTAAGGGAGAGACCAGCAGTGATGGTCGGCTCTCAGGGGTTCAGTGGCTTCATGTTTGAAAAGTTATAACTCCCTCTAACATAGTGCATGAGCACGACTCACTGAGGCTCACCTTTTAATCTGACACTCTGGGGGTGTGGCCTGCTGCTCACCTTTTAATCTGACACTCTGGGGGCGTGGCCTGCTGCTCACCTTTTAATCTGACACTCTGGGGGCGTGGCCTGCTGCTCACCTTTTAATCTGACACTCTGGGGGCGTGGCCTGCT